TGTAGAATGGTGTAATTCTCAGTATTATGTCCACAGTTGTAGAATGGTGTAATTCTCAGTATTATGTCCACAGCGGTAGAATGGGGGTAATTCTCAGTATTATGTCCACAATAGTAGAATGGTGTAATACTCAGTATTATGTCCACAGTAGTAGAATGGTGTAATTATCAGTATTATGTCCACAGTAGTAGAATGGTGTAATTATCAGTATTATGTCCACAGTAGCAGAATGGTGTAATTATCAGTATTATGTCCACAGTACTAGAATGTATACCTAAATGTAAATCATAATTCTGTTCAACAACAACCCACTGGCTGTTTATAAGAAAGCCAATGTATACCTAAATGTAAATCATAATTCTGTTCAACAACAACCCACTGGCTGTTTATAAGATAACCAATGTATATTTAAATGTAAATCATAATTCTGTTGAACAACAACCCTCTAGCTGTTTATAAGAAAGCCAATGTGTACCTAAATGTAAATCATAATTCCGTTCAACAACAACCCACTGAGGATCCATTTTGGTATGACTTTTTTCAGATAGAAGTCGGCACACATGAGCCACTGTCATCCTTTCATCAACCAGTAAACTTTTGGCCCGACCATCATCAGTGTATGCTTTGATAAACAGCTGTAAAGAAACAGAAACATGTGCTCTTCAGTTATATAGAAGAACTTTATTAATTTGTCTTTTCAGATTACACAAAAAAACAATGTATTTTGGAAATTTTTGGAATAAAATCAAACTTATCAAACTTAAAAACTGAATACTGACTTCACCTATTCCATGTTTTTATTTTTTGGACATATATCAGCCTCATCGGTAGTTTTAATACCTGATAAAGTTGCTAAGCACCAGAACGTAACTAAAATGAATATTTTATTTTCTTGGAGAAAGAAGCAGTTTTAATTCATAAAATATTTACTGGAATTATCAACTAAATACTACTCAATAAGACAGAAAAACATAACCCTCAGATAAGCATGGATATACTTCGTTTTGTTGTTTTCCAAGAGTGGGGAAGAAGGAGACTGCTGTAAAGTTGTAGCTTGTATACTTAAAGAGTAGGTTTTCAATAGGCATAAGTTCAGCACTGATGATTAAAATGTCAAATAGTGTATTAACTTGAAGTGTATTTAAAAAAAAATCATTCTTTAAATAATTTCTTTATAATGTTTTCAAATAACATTACTTTTATAAACAACAAAATGCAAAGAGTCAATCAACCTGAAACTAATCTAAACCAAAACTAGTTAGTCTAACAAGCCATAGAAATATTTAAAACCAAACATTTATTAAAAGCATCTGGCTTGTCTAATATATACACAGCACATACATTTAGACAGTTTTATAATCAGGAAGTTCTAATTCTATACATTGTTTTGCACTGACGTTCTAATTCTATACATTGTTTGTACTGACGTTCTAATTCTATACATTGTTTTGCACTGACGTTCTAATTCTATACATTGTTTTGCACTGATGTTCTAATTCTATACATTGTTTTGCACTGACGTTCTAATTCTATACATTGTTCTGCACTGACGTTCTAATTCTATACATGGTTTTGCACCGACGTTCTAATTCTATACATGTTTTTGCACCGACGTTCTAATTCTATACATGGTTTTGCACCGACGTTCTAATTCTATACATGTTTTTGCACCGACGTTCTAATTCTATACATGTTTTGCACCAACGTTCTAATTCTATACATGGTTTTGCACCGACGTTCTAATTCTATACATGGTTTTGCACCGACGTTCTAATTCTATACAT